GTGACGAGCGAAGATTTGATCAATTCTTCACCAATAGTTTGTTTCCCTGCTCTTATTGTTCCGAGTATCCATATCACAATAAAGAAGAAAAATATTTGTTGGTGCCAAGTTATATACGAGGGATAAAACCCTAAAATCATAAGTGAAAAAGTAAGAAAGCTATTAACAATAAAAGTTGGGGGGTAGTCCCGACGTTTATACTCTTATACTCAAGTCAATGGTTAATTTAAGAAAGAAATAGGAAGGAGAGAGAAATAAATTGATAAAAGCTTGATGTTTAAAGGTACTTGAATGATGTTATTTATACTTATGGAATGAGAGTTTTTACATAATCTAAATTATTCGAAGTCAGCCTTAAAAGCTATAGATGACTTAGTAAGCTCAAGTTGAGCTAGTGATTTGACTATTCATTCGGGACATGACAAGTCAGAATCTTAACAGTTTTATATATAAATTGCTCAGATAATCGAATTGATGTGAATCCATAAATTTAAGCTAACCTGACACGTCAGCTTGACTAAAATGATCAAATTATCCTTTGTTATCTACTAACTTACACTAATAAGGAAAAAGTTTATAATGCTATTTGTATCTAAAAATATTCTTAACATTATATTCTCCCACAAAGCAGTTTAAGGTGTCAAATTGATAATTATCAAATAGACCGACCTAATATATCTTTGATATGATCGAGCTATTGATTGGTATGGATTCTGAAAATTCTCTTTGAACAGTTGTATCGACCTCGCATGGTTTAGGTGATGAGTGATGAATACCGATTTAAACTCAATATTAATATTTACTTCGATTTATGATGATATAACTGATGTACATTGGTATAGCCAACGTTGTACTTAAAGTATTCACAATTGATTCATTGTTTCCTAGTACTAGTGTCCAATGTGAGTCATTTCCTAGTATTGGTGATCGATGTGACATTTTGCAAATTTTCCTTTACAGTGAATCACATATAATTTGATGTACAATTAAGTGTATAGCTGATGTGGCATAATAGTGAAAAATGTCTAATATGCCTCTCGTGTGAATTTACATTTATTGGTGAAAGAAAAATTATGACGATTAAACGTATTAAAGTTGAGATTATAAGGGTTATCTTCAGTGACTGTTATGAGACATGGCTCAATTTGACGCATTCATATGAGCTCGTACTTTGCCTATATATAAGGTCTTTTAGGGACCCAAATTCTCACCAAATAATCTTTTAGCTCTCAAGCTAACTAGATCTAACCAACCTCCAACTTTATTAACCCGTATGACATTTTCTTTTCAAACTCTTTGGTTCGTTTCTTTTTCTTTTCCTTTTTGTTATGTCTTTTGATTTTAACATCTTTAATAACTTTAAAGTAAATGTAAAAAGAGGTCAACATAGCCACACGACTTTCTATTTGGATGATCAAATCCCTTCTGTCATTACGGGAAGGACTACATCTAAGTTGCTTACTAATTAAATCCAATATCTGTTAAGGGCCAAAAACAGATCGAAGACAATGCTCGAGCAAAGGGAAATGGGTTAATCATGGGATAGACCAGCTTTTGGCTGCTATTGATTTCAACTTCCAAAACCCACTGGTCCCATTAGCTGTGGTCAGTTCAACTCCTCTATTTGACCTTCTTTCGTTTTTTTTTTTTTTTTTGTTTTGCCTTCTAGCCAAACTATCCTTACCATTCTTATACTACTCCCTAGCCAAATTATCATTTCCATTTTTTTTCCCAACAATCCAATAATTCAAGCTCAAAATTTAACTCTGGCTCTTCTAAGTTCAAAGAGTCTTTTAGCTCATCTTTATCTTTTTCTTCCTCTGACATAATAAAAGTCCTAGCTCTTGTTTAAAAGTTTGTTCGTACTTCAGAAGTTGAATAGTCAGGTAATGACGCTTCTAGTGCTGAGCAAGCTCAAAGTTCTGAGCAAGTTGAGAGGTCCACCGGGCCAAAGAAAGAAAGGTAAAGGGAAAGCAGAGCTTACTGACGACGAGGATAATGAAGACCTCACTCTTTTTAACACCTTTTATGATTTAGGTATAACCTAAAAAGAAGTGATAAAGAGTTTAAGGGGTAAGGTAAATCCTGACGACTGCCCCAATCTGTATTCAGTTCGGTAAAAATCAAATTTGATTTTCTCGTTAAAGGGTACAATATAGTCGTGCCGACCTCCAATGATCGAATTACCAAACCCCTAAGCTCCAACAAGATTTGGGTGTACTAGGAATTCATAGTGCTTGACCTTAGATTTTTTTTGCATTTGTTGCTGTAAAATTTCTTTTATCTTATAATTTAACTATAACTCAATTCATCCCGAATTTTTTTCATAATAAATTTTATTATTCTTTATAAAGAATTAGGTATATATTTTTTTATTTTTTTATTTAAAAAATTCTTTTCAGTAAAAAAACACTCCCATAATAAAAACTAGTTTTATGCGACGACTCATCCTTCTAAAGAATTTTTGCCAATTGAGCTCAAAAAAAAGTTAAAAGGTTATTTTCTTCTATAAAAAAGGTAAAAAGTTTGAAAAATAAATAATGGCCTTGGCATTTTTTAAGAAGCTAAAATCGACCCTTAATCACAAACAAGCTAGAGGCTTGAGATACAATAATAGACTTCCTTAATGATTGAAAGTTGATAATTCATGCATACAAACTGTTAAGTACTAAAATACTAGTTTATTATCCACCCTGTGTTTATCTTTGTCGATTTTATTCTAATTTTCAATTAGATTTTGTTTTGCAAATATGACAGATTGCGGTGAGTCTTTCAACATGTCCTATTTTCTTCAACCTTTCAGAGAGAATAAAAGGCAAGGCTCTTCCTCAACTTAGTGCCCTCGAGTAAAATTAAAATAATTAATCCACCACATCCTTAGTGCCAAGTCAGTGGTAAGAGTCCTATCGAGCTTTGAAAGCTCAAGCAAAAAAGCCCACAGGAGAGGCTGATGACCAATGCCCTCCCTCCAAATCCCGTGAAGCTTCCACGAATATATTCTTTTTCTTTCTTTTATTTGTTATATTTTTCTTTTTCTTTAATGTATTTATCATTAATTGTTATATCTATCATTATTTATTTTATTTTTTGTCATATTATTTTTTTAATAATAACTTTATTTACTTAAAATACTTTTTTTGGTTCAAGCTACAGTTTGGTAATGATTTCATATATTAATTTTGAATTTGGATAAAACTTGCAATAAATTTAAATTTAATTATTACTTCTATCAAAGTTTTTCACCTAAATATATAATTTCAAACTAAAATTAATTAAAACAAATCGTAAATCTACATTAATCACTTTTTTAATAACAAATGATTTCATATATTATTTTTGAATAATAAAACTTGTAATAAACTTTTAAAGGTTTAAATTTTTAACGTTGTTATGTTTTAAAACTTGAATTTGGAATTTAAAATTATTTTATTTAATATATTTTGATTAAAACTCCAATTTAAATTTTAAAATTATTTTATTTAATATATTTTGATTTACAATATAAAATTGATTCTAATTTGAAATTATATATTTAGTTGAATTTGAAACCTGAAAATTTGTTAAAATTTATTATAAGTTTTATCCAAATTCAAAATAAATTCTTTGAAATCATTACCGAACTTGTTATAAAAAAAATTACCCTAACAAAATATTTTAAATTTTAGTCAAAGAGAAAAAGTATTTTAAGTAAACAAAGTTATCATGTAAAAAAAAAAAAAAAAAGATAACGAGTAAAACATATAATCTTATCCTCCAATGCCACATGATTAACAAAATTAAGAAATGCAATAAATAATGATAGATATAATAGTTCCTAATGAAAATAACAAAGATAAATAATTATTTATCTCTTAACAAATTATATTAAATAAGAGATAACAGATATATCCTGATATAATCCAAAATAATACATAAAATAAAAAGTAAAGATGATTTGATTAAAAAAATAAGATAAAATACAATAAGAACCAAGATAAAACATACAAGATAAATAAGATAAAACTAATATTACAAAAAGAGCCAATAAAATATGGACAATGTAAAAAAAATCAGCATGAAATAAAAAATAAATAACTATGAAATGTACTGACAATTTCGATAAAATTCTAAATGAAAATAACAAAGATACATAATTATTATCTCATAAACAAATATAAATTATCATCTCTTAACAAATAATATTAAATAAAAATGATAAAAAAATAACTAAATATTCTAAAATAATCCAAAATAATAGTAAAAATAATAAATAAAAACTAATTCCAAGATAAAATACGAGGTAATCTTAATCACATAAGAGCTTTTATTGAAGTCATGTATCATTCAACGAGTGTTTAATAATATTGTCATCCATTTTCTAAATTAAACATGACCATCATGCAGTCAAATATAGAAAACAACTACTTTAGAAATAAAGACGGTAAGCTATCTTCATGATATAATATACTAATCCTAAAGCAAAAAGATTCAAGGATTGCTACAAAATAAACCATCACGCAATTGAGCCAAGCTCACAAATAAAACATTATAATGGTTCAACTTAAACTCAAAACCCCAAAGATAAATGCAAGTGAGGAACCTTAAGATTCACAAAATGGAAGGATAAAAAAAGCAAGAGAAATTAAAACAAAGCAACAAAAACTTGACAAGAAAATACTAGAATGAAAAGCCAATGATAAGAGGTAGTTTTGCCTCTGAAGTCATGTACAACAATTGCGTATCAGAGTTAGAAACAACAACCACCACATCATATAGTTAGAATGCTTCCAATAAGCATAACAATGTTATAATTAGAAACATGCTTACGATTTAGCAAATTGATCAAACTCTTCATTATTTGAAATGTAATAGAATAGGTGCACTAATCATAAAAAATTTATACAAATACAAGAAGATTCAAGGCAAGTATCATTTCCAAATATGATGAAGCAACAGCTAGTCATGTATTACCAATTAATTTTACCAATTGAACCACCACAAGCTCTAGGACCTCTAATGAATGGCCAAACATGAAGGATATTTAGAGTTACCATGACATTACAACAAAAATGCTAAGGAAGATCATGGATTTTGAAAGAATCCAATAAAAAAGAGACAATCTTCCATCTCAGTGCTTGTCCAGATTTAAGTTTCTGAAGTTAATCCTAAGGAAACAATCCATCATGCAACAAATAGAGTGAAACCTGCAAAACATAAATAATCAAGACGCAAGAAAACAAAATGCATGATCAAGAATCAAGAAGAAAGAGGCTCTGTTACAGGGTAAGTACTCAACCTCATTGTTCGTCTAGATTAAATTTTTGAAATTAAACCTAAGATTAAAATTTGTCATGCAACAAAGTTGAACCAGCAAACCAAGAAGAAAATCCCAACACATACAAAAGTGTAGCCATACAAATTTGGACCATACCGCAATATAATTTCTAATTCATTTCTCTAGCAAATCGTGCTTGGTACACAGCCAACTAAGCTCGCACTAAGCTCCGTATAGACTATCAAATGACAAACACAATTAAAAAACCACAAACCAAGGATTATTCAAAAGAAAATTTTCCAAAACTAAACTCTATACACAGAAGATAAAAAATGCAAGCTAAACTAGAATTTAAATGGAATGTTAAAGCATAAGAGATCAAATATTAATTGAAGTTCAGATCAAACTTCATCAAGTCAAAAGCACTAAAACAAAAAATTACACATTAACCATTAAGAATTAGAAGCCATGGGAATGAAACCTAGAAACCGAACAGCAGAACAAAACCAGCAAAACAAAAATTCCCAACAAACACACAAACATAGAAATTCCGTACAAACACACAAGCTTAGAAAATTTGAAACTTTAATACCTCCTACTCTGCAAGGTAAAATTCAAAGTGGCAAACAGATGACAACCAATCACACTCAAGAATGAAGAAACCACAACCCAAATATTTCTCTTGCAGTAACATCATCAGTAACTTAAACTTCATTACCAGTTATATTCTTTAACTTAAACTTCATCAAATTAGATGCAACCACAATTAAAAATTTGACAGCAACATCATCAATCACTAAAAAACCCAAGCCAATGAAACCTAAGAAACCTATATGTCATGGCACAAAGATAAAAACAATAAGAAAACTCCCATACACACAGCTACACAAATTTTGAATCCCTAATTCCTCCTATACACACACATTCATACAAATTTAGAATACTTAATTCCTCCATACTGCAAGTCATTCTTGGAGCATACAGGTCATTAAGCTTCGTACAGACCACCAGATCACAAACACACTAAACTCATTTTACCGATTGAACAAACCTAAGCTCACAAATCAAATATTATAACTTTAACTTAAACTCAAAACCAAAAATATATACCAAATAAATTAAACCCCAATGCAATAAGACAATTATCCATTACTTTCTCAAATGGAAGGCCTTAGGAACCTAAAGATATGCAAAAGGGAAAAAATCAAAACACAATATAAGAAAAACTCAATGAGAATAGACATCTAATGAAATACTAAAGAAGATGGATATTTAAAAGTTTTAGAGAATATAATTTGAAAAGAGCTAACCTTCCTTTTGAAGTGGCATATCGTTCAACATATGGTATAGCAAAGCAGTAGCCTCCTCGATAAGATGTTTTGAAAACAAAAAGAAAAATCCATTAAAAAATTACATACCTTCTGTGCATATCTCACTACTTTTACAACCATTGACGTAACTAAACTTGAAGAAAAGATGTATAATGGTATTGTACTCACCTGGATAACCTCCCTTCTTTTGACACATTATCAATGCAAAATTAGTAAATCTCAATGAGTAAATAATTAAATGATAATTGATCTTCCTAAAAAAATAATTTCTTGATGATAACTACAAAAATCCGATTCCATAAAAAAAATTCAAAATATTAACATCTATTGGATGGAAAATGCTAAAAAGAGATTTTAATTCAATAAGAATACTTATAAATTTGACTTAAAAGGCTTTAATTTGAATATTTAACACATTTTAACTTGTTTATCGGTTGTGCTTATGATACCACAAGCTTCCAAATCTCAAATACTAAAAGCTGCAGAAAACAGTAACTAACCTGCAAATTTCTACAAGGAATTTTTTGCGGAAGGAAGACATTGTAACAGACACTATAATAAACGCAATTTAACTATGAATCTTTGATGCTGATCTAAAGGAGAAACTAATCTCTCCAAATATGATAGACTTTTATAAGAGAAATCTCACATTAATAGCATAGAAAATGTCAGTACAAATTCCAAAAAAAAAAAAAATGGTTGCAATCACCTATTTTGATTAAATCAAGATTTTGTCAAACTCCTTATTTTCTACAAAAGCTGCAACAACTTTAATATACGCTTTCATGCAAGATCATCGTCCATAGTCTATAATGAGAACACAGTTTACCATTAGAAAAAATTTAAAAAAAAAAGGTCAAATCATGTACAATTTGTTGAAGTAAAAAAATTTAGAAAAAATTCATTAGGGTGGTGGAAATCAAACCTTCTAAAGGCCTCCAAGTTCCTCACACATTCCAATTTGCCTTCTTCCAACCAATTCTACAAAAGATTCTTCTTTGTTTAGATTGATCACCAGGCGAGAAAAATTCCTAATTATAAACCATTATCAGTCAGCATATAACTTTTCTGCATATTTGGAATGAGCGATTACCTTTTCAATAAAGTAAATAAGCGACTTGCTGGCAAGTTCATGATCACCAGCCACTGCATATTTCCATTCCATCTTTGTAAAGGTTGTCTTTCTTCAATAATGCAAATGTTTCTCAATAAGAAACTCAAAGAGAACAAACATCTAATGAAATACTTAAGAAGATGGATATTTAAAGTTTAGAGAATATAATCTGAAAAGAGCTAACCTTTCTTTTGAAGTGGCATATTGTTCAAAGCAGTAGCCTCCTCAATAAGTTCTTTTGAAAACAAAAGAAAAATCCATTAAAAAATTAAATATGTTCTATGTATATCCCACTACTTTTACAACCATTGACATAACTAAACTTGAAGAAAGGATGAATAATGGTATTGTACTCACCTGGATAACCTCCCTCCTTATGAGATATCATCAATGCAAAATTAGTAGATCTCTATGAGAAAATAATTAAATGATAACTTATCTTCCTAAAAAAATAGTTTCTCCAATGACAACTACAAAAATCCTATTACATCAAAAAAATTCAAAATATTAATATCTATTGGTTGGAAAATGCTAAAAAGATATTTTAATTTAATAAGAATATTTATAAAATTGACTTCAAAGGCTTTAATTTAAATATTTAACACATTTTAACTTGTTTATTGGTTGTACTTATGATTCCACAAAGCTTCCAAATCTCAAATACTAAAAGCTGTAGAAAACAGCAACTAACCTGTAGATTTCTGCAATGAAATTTTTGCAGAAGGAAGACATTGTAACCAACCTGAGAACGCCATTTAACCATGAAACTTTGATGCTGATCTAGAGGAGAAAAATATCTCTCGAAATCTGATAGGCTTTTATAAGGGAAATCTCACATTAATAACATAGAAAATGCCAGTACAAATTCAAAAAAAAAAATCTTGCAATCACCTATTTTGATTAAATCAAGATTTTGTCAAACTCCCTACTTTCGACAAAAGCTGCAACAACTTTAATATACACTTAAACTATTATAACCTTAACTTAAACTCAACCTCAAATATATCCTAAATAAATTGAACCCCAATGCAACCCTAGGACAATTATCCATTACTTTCTCAAATAAAAGGGAACCTAAAGATATGCAAAAGGGAAAAAAATCAAACAAGAATAATCATAACACAACATAAGAAAAACATAATGAGAACATGCATCTAATGAAATACTACAGAAGATGGATATTTAAAGTTTTAGAGAATATAATCTGGAAAGAGCTAATCTTTCTTTTAAAGTGGCAAATCTTTCAACATTAGGTATAGCAAAGCAGTAGCCTCCTCAATAAGTTTCTTTGAAAACAAAAAGAAAAATCCATTAAAAATTTACATTTGTTCTGTATATATCTCACTACTTTTACAACCAATTGACATAACAAAACTTGAAGAAAAGATGTATAATGGCATTGTACTCACCTGGATAACCTCTATCCTTTTGAGACATCATCAATGCAAAATTAATAGATCTCTATGAGTAAAACATTAAATGACAACTGATATTTCTAAGAAAAATAGTTTCTCCATACAGAAATCCTATATCATCAAAAAAATTCATAATACTAACTTCTATGGGTTGGAAAATGCTAAAAAGAGACTTTAATTTAATAAGAATATTTATAAAATTACTTAAAAGGCTTTGATTTAAATATTTAACACATTTTAACATGCTTATCAGTTGTACTTATGATTCCACAAACTTCCAAATCTCAAATACTAAAAGCTACAGAAAACAGTAACTAACCTACAGATTTCTACAAGGAATTTTTTATAGAAGGAAGACATTGTAACCAACTCAAGGATGCCATTTAATAATGAATCTTTGATACTGATCTAGAGGAGAAAATAATCTCCCCAAATCTGATAGGCTTTTAAAAGGGAAAGCTCACATTAATAGCATAGAAAATATCAGGACAAATTCAAGAAAACAAAAGTTGCAATCACCTATTTTGATTAAATCAAGATTTTGTCAAACTCCCCATTTTCTACAAAAGCTACAACAACTTTAGTATATGCTTTCATGCGAGATTGTTGTCCATATTCTATAAACAGAACACAGTTTACCATTAGAAAAAGAAAAAAAAGTCAAATCAAGCACAATTTGTTGAAGTAAAAAAATTTCAGATAAAATTCATTAAGGGGGAGGAAATAAAACCTTCAGAAGGTCTTTAAGTTTCTCACACATTCCCATTTGCCTTCCACCAATCAATTCTACAAAAGATTCTTTATTGTTTGGATTGATCACCGGGTGAGATAAATTCCATATCATAAACCATTATCAATCAGCATATAACTTTTCTATGTATTTGGAATGAGGGATTACCTTTTCAATAAAGTAAACAAGTGACTTGCTGGCAAGTTCATGATCACCAGCCACCAGAGATTCCCAGTGCATCTTTCTAAAGGTTGTCTTTCTTCAACAATGCAAATGTTTCTCAATCTACTCAAGCAATTTGAGCTTGATTATAGGGGCTGAACATTCCATTTGCCAAAATGACATCAGCCAGATCCAGAAAAGTAACTAGACCAATTTCCATTACTTTCTCAACTCATTTTACTGATTGAACAAACCCAAGCTCACAAATCAAGTATTATAACCTTATCTTAAACTCAAAACCTCAAATATATCTTCAAAAAAATTAAACCCCAATTAACCCTAAGACAATTACCAATTACTTTCTCAAATAGAAGGCCTCAGGAACCTAAAGATATGCAAAAGGGAGTAAATCAAACAAGAATAATCATAAAACAATATAAGAAAAACTCAATGAGAACAAACATCTAATGAAAATACTAAAGAAGATGGATATTTAAAGTTCTAGAGAATATAATCTGAAAGAGCTAACCTTTCTATTGAAGTGGCGTATTGTTCAAGATATGTTATAGCAAAGCAATAGCCTCCTTGATAAGTTCTTTTGAAAACAAAAGAAAAATCCATTAAAAAATTACATATGTTCTATGTCTATCCCACTAATTTTATGACCATGTACATAACTAAACTTGAAGAAAAGATGTATAATGGTATTGTACTCACCTGGACAACCTCCCTCCTTATGAGATATCATCAATGCAAAATTAGCAGATCTCTAAGTAAACAATTAAATGATAACTGATCTTCCTATAAAAAAGGGTTTCTCCATGTTAACTACAAAAATCTTATTCCATAAAAAAAATTCAAAATGCTAACATCTATTGGTTTGAAAATGCTAAAAACATAATTCAATTTAATAGGAATATTTATAAAATTGACTTAAAAGGCTTTAATTTAAATATTTAACACATTTTAACTTGGCTATTGATAGTACTTATGGTTCCACAAGCTTCCAAATCTCAAATATTAAAAGCTGCAGAAAACAGTAACTAACCTACAGATTTCTACAAGGAATTTTTTGCAGAAGGAAGACATTGTAACAAACCTGATGATGCAATTTAACTATGAATCTTTGATGCTGATCTAGAGGAGAAAATAATCACTCCAAATCTGATAGGCTTTTATAAGAGAAATCTCACACTAATAGCATAGAAAATGCCAGTACAAATTCAACAAACAAATGTTTTTCCAAAAATCCTAAGGAACAAGCCAAAATGTAAGGAAAACTGCATAAAAACAAGCATGAAAAAGTTAAAATTTTAGTGCAATCAAACCCCCAAACTTAAGCTTTTGCTTGTCCTCAAGCAAAACAAGATTGAGCAAGAATCATACTATACTCTCAATGCCTCATAGACTAATCAATGGATATAACCAAAGTAAAATCATGAACAAGTGCTAGTATACAAGAATCTACCTAGGCTAAGATCATTCCTAACTATGGTTCCACAAGCAAGCAACACCTCTCACATATCCTTGCATGAAATCTAGTAATGTTATGCAAAACATGAAACTTTAATAACAAGATCAATAAAGCATGCTCATACTCCATAAGTTTGCTTATCACATCTCTCTCCACTAATGTAGATAAACACAGGACCAAGGATCATTTAGGACTTTATTAAGCTTGTAGTGTAAGGCTTGGGTCAAAATATGATAAAAGTCATTTAAGCTCAAGTACCCTAACAATGCATCACATGTCTAGGATCATCCATGGTTGAGCTTCCCAGGTAAGAAAGGTAAGCTTGTTAAAGAATCCCCCCAAACTTTGATTGTACCAAATTTTCTTTCTTTTATTATTTTCTTTGCTTTTTCACCACTTTATTACTTTTCTTTTTCACAACTTTTTATTTTTCTTTCTTTGTCTTTTTTTTTTCTTTTGTAAGATTGACTTTTTCTTTTTCTTTTGTTTTTGTTTTTGTTTTTTTTTTTCTTTTTATTTTCAGATTCTTTGTCCAAACTCCACCCTTCCTCCCTAATAATGCATAGCTCATAAATAGAGGATGAATGTCCTAATGCATATATAAGGTAAGGGACCAAAAAGACACGAAATATACAAAATAAGGCTATGGGCTTGTAATGTGGTTTTAAAACAAAGAAAAGGCATCATAAGGCTCAAATGGGGTGATTATGGAAATAATATGTCAAGGTTTGCTTGAAAGGCTCAAACGATCCAAGAATAACCTATATCATTTCCCTAATCATATGTCCTCTAGGATTTCACCTCGAGAAATGATCAAAACTAATTCTAGAATCATGAAACACAACTCTAAAAACCAATGCAAAAACAATCTCACGCTCACATAATCAACACTAGATAAAAAATGCAATCCAATGTTCAAAAGCATCACTCACAAATGAATACCATATTCAAGAATTCACTAGACATAAGTACCATCTCATATTTCACACATATTCAATCTTTTGCTAAAGTTATATTCATTCTCAATCACTACATATCATTGGCTTCACGGAGAACTAATCAAAGAAAGCATAGTACTAATTCAAGCTACTACATATTAAGCTTAATTTCAGGGCAAAAATCAAGGAAAATTCAAAAAAAAATTTCAAATTTTGAGTAATTTTCCTATACCTCTAAATTTAAACAACACATTGTCCTCAATGTGTAAGTATCAAGTAATAAAGCATGAAATAGAGGAACAAGAAAACACGCCTATCATCAATGCAAAATTAATAGATCTCTACGAGTAAAACATTAAATGACAACTGATCTTTCTAAGAAACATAGTTTCTTCATACAAAAATCCTATCCCTTCAAAAGAATTCAAAATACTAACATCTATTGGTTGGAAAATGCTAAAATTAAATTTTAACTTAATAAGAATATTTATAAAATTGACTTAAAAGGCTTTAATTTAAATATTTAACAAATTTTAACTTGTTTATCAGTTGTACTTATGATTCCACAAACTTCCAAACCTCAAATACTAAAAGCTGCAGAAAACAGTAACTAACCTGCAGATTTCTACAAGGAATTTTTTGCAGAAGGAAGACATTGTAACCAATTTGAGGATGCCATCTAATAATGAATCTTTGATGCTGATCTAGAGGAGACAATAATCTCCCTGAATCTGATAGGCTTTTAAAGGAGAAAGCTCACATTAATAGCATAGAAAATACCAGCACAAATTCAAAAAAAAAAAATTGCAATTACCTATTTTGATTAATCAAGATTTTGTCAAACTCCTCATTTTCTACAAAAGCTACAACAACTTTAATAGACACTTTCATGCAAGATCATTGTCCATATTATATAAACTGAACACAGTTTACCATTAGAAAAAGTAAAAAAAAAAAAGTCAAATAATGCACAATTTGTTTAAGTAAAAAAATTTTAGATAAAATTCATTAAGGTGGTGGAAATAAAACCTCATAAGGTCTTTAAGTTCCTCACACATTCCCATTTGCCTTCTGCCAATCAATTCTACAAAAGATTCTTCATAGTTTGGATTGATCAACAGGCAAGAAAAATTCCATATTATAAACCATTATCAATCAGCATATAACTTTTCTACATATTTGGAATGAGTGATTACCTTTTCAATAAAGCAAACAAGCGACTTGCTAACAAGTTCATGATCACCAGCCACTGGAGATTTACATTGCATCTTTCTAAAGGTTGTCTTTCTTCAACAATGCAAATGCTTCTAAATTTACTCAAACAAGTCAAGCAATTTGAGCTTCATCATAGAGGTTGAAAATTCTGTCTGCCAAAATGACATCAGCCAGATCCAGAAAAGTAACTAGACCGATTTCCAAAACCTGCATAGGAAAGCATGTAATGCAGTAAGTGAGTAAATTTTAAAATAAAAAATAAAAAATTTGATAGCTAAACTAGTTACTCAATGATAAAAAAACCTTTGTTTGTGGAAAATCAGGCTCTGAAAATTTTGGTTATAAAGCATACAGCAATGCAGTAGCCTCCTGGATAAGTTCCTTTGAAAACAGAAAAAAAAAAATCTACTAAAAAAAATTACATTGTTCAGTGTATATCCCACTACTTTTACAGCCAATGACAAAACTAAACATGAAGAAAAGATGTATAATGGTATTGTACTCACTTGGATAACTGCCCTCCATTTAAGACATCATCAATGCAAAATTAATAGCTCTCTATGAGCAAAACATTAAATGATAACTAATTTTCCACAGAGAAAAAATAATTTCTCCATAATAACTAAAAAAAATCCTATCCCATCAAAAAATTCAAAATATTAACATCCATTGGTTGGAACTTGGAACATGCTAAAAGAGATTTTAGTTTAATAAGAATATCTATAAAATTGACTTAAAAGGCTTTAATGAAAAGATTTAACACGTTTTAACTCGTTTATTGGTTGTACCTATGAATCCACAAGCTTCCACAACTCATCAGAAAACATAAACTAACCTGTAAATTTCTACAATGAATTGTTTGCAGAAGGAAAACATTGTTAGGCGTAACCAACTGAGGATGCCATTTAACCATGAAACTTTGATATGCTGATGCAGAGGAGAAAATAATTTCCCCAAATGTGATAGGCTTTACAAGGCATCAATTTTGCCATTTGAGCTGCCTTCCTCAACCCTTCATCCATAGTAAAGATCCAATAATAATTATATAGACAACTTATTGAAAGGGTTTAGTCTACTTTTAGAGTAGACAAATGAAAGAAAGTAAATATGGAGTTTGGTTTCATTTGCATATTGGTTATCAGTATTACATCCACTGAATTAAAGTGGCCCGATCTGTCATATATGCCTACAGAAAACAGCCTTTTTCAAAAATATTTTGCACTTTAACACATTGCATTTATTTTGTATATTCCACTACCAAAAATTATCCGTCTTTCTGTTAGGGTAATGTCCTGTCCTCGTTTGGTCCCTAAGAAGTAAGGTTTTAGTCTATTTTATTCTTTGAGGCAAGACAGAATTAAGGTTTTTTAGATTAAGTTGCAACATCAAATCTTCTATCCTATAATTAAAAATTAACTACAGAAGCTCTTTGGGTGCACTTGGTTTGGGATATGAATGGGCCAGAGATTCAAAAATTTTAAGAGGCTATTTTTTTTTAATTTCCGGGAGGTGAGATTGGATTTGAATCATGAACAACTAATGAAGGCAATATATATTGAATTTTCCAAAGAAACAGAATTAATTTGGAGACGAAAGTGAGAGTGGAAAATGGTGGATGCATTGAAATTTCTCCACTTTCTTTGATTACATCAGTCAATGACTTACATATAAAGCATTACGGTAAAGTGAAGGAAAATTCAAGAACACTATAACATAACTTTTGCATTTTTCTTTTCTATTCTCAAACTTTCTACTCTCTTCTTTAGGTAAAATGAGGGAAAATTTAAGAATAATTTAACATTAATAACATAGAAAATGCCAGTACAAATAAAAAAAAAAACCGTTGCAAGTACCTACTTTAATTAAATCAAGAATTCAAACTTCCTATTTTTTACAAAAGCTGCAACAACTTTAATATACGCTTCCATGCAAGATCATTATCCATAGTCTATAACGAGAATACAGTTTACCACTAGAAAAAGTAAAAAAAAAAAAAAAATTCCAAATCAGGCATAATTGTTGAAGCAAAAAAATTAAAATAAAATTCATAGAAGTGGTAGAAATCAAACCTTCAGAAGGTCTCCAAGTTCTTTACGCATTCCAATTTGTCTTCCGCCAACCAATTCTCCGAAACCTTCTTCTTTGTTTGGATTGAACACCGGCCGAGAAAAATTCCAAGCCTCAAAGGAATTAAGTTTCTCTCTAGTTAAATCCAAAACCCTAATTTCCCAACTTAATTTCGATACCCAATCTCAAGGGAAGCTGCATCCCCTCAGTATTTTCTCCGATCTCGATATTATCAACAATAATCTACATTCCAAGCCCTAAGGCCGAGAAGGAATCTAAAAAAGAATAACCTAAACTTCAAAGAATGAAAATTGAAATAGTGAGAAGAAAGGCTGAAAATAGAGGCTTTTTAAATATAAAAAGGAAAAAAAATCTGACCTTTGAAGCTTAACCGACGATTACAATTTGAATTAAAAATTGTTTTACTTAAAAAGAAATTATTGATTCAAAAAAAATGTAACGACTTGTTCGAGGCCACAATCAAAACGAAAAACATATTTGATGGGCACGGAGAATCGCTTAATGTTATTGCCAACCTTCAATGCAAATTACGTCATTTTTCACTAAAATTTTGACGCTTTTGCTATGCAAATTGGCTTCTTCTATGTAAATGAAAAAATGTATCTCAGAGAGCAAAAAAAAAAAAAAATTGTAGAAAACAAAAGGAGTGGAGGAACCCCGTGAGATTGCTAAATATTGAAGTAAAAATTGGGTTGAGACTGAAACGTGCAGAGGAATGGAGGATGCATCTAAACCTTTGTCTTTGGAATGATTATCTGAGTTGAGAGAATAGAAAATAACGGATGCTACCTATCAGTTGATGGTGAATTCCTTTATGAATAAAAATGCAAAAGCAACTCTTTGTAGGATAAAATTGTCCTATGCAGTTCTGAAGTTTATAATGACGTGGCATAATTTCGTCCTTAGATCTATTTATTGATGATGCGTCCTTTAATCTTACTGTTGACGGTCTCTCTTGAAAGTAACCCTAACCTCTTAAATTTCTCATTTTACCCTCGCAATTTCTCCAAAATCACCTAAGAAATGAAATTTCTAGGATTAGGGTTTTGAGAATTCGATGAAAAAAAAAGAAAACCATGGACGATTTCAAGGACTCGATACCGAGATCGGTGAGCAAGACGTGAACGGATCACACCAGTTCACGACCAAGGTTACTCGTTGGCGAAAGGGATGGGACCTGGGAAATGTATAGCCAGCGATGTTTTTAACGTCGGTGGTTACGATTGGGCGATTTACTTTTACCCCGATGGTAAAAATCCGGAGGATAGTGCGATGTATGTTTCGGTTTTCATTGATCTGGCCAATGAAGGTACCGGTGTTCGAGCACTTATCAAGCTCACCCCGTGGACCGGAGTGGGAAAGGGGAGCATAAGGTTTATAGTTAGTTTGATCGGGCGTTGGAGAGTGGGCTTTATACGTTGAAGTACAGAGGGAGCATGTGGTAACAATTTGAGTTTTGGAATTTAGGGTTTGGTTCATAATTTTGTTTTATTTTTTAAAAATATTTTTATTTGAGTATTTAGAGAATGAATATGATAGTTTATAAGGTAATTGTTGTTTGTATTATATTATAATTATTAAATGGGTTTATGTTCTCTGCCTCTGATAGCGTTTTGATTCCTAAATCTCAATAGCTAACATGCACGCATTTAACCGTCAAGACACAAGGAATTAAAGCTATTAAATGGGTGTATGTTGGTGAATTGTGATCGGAAATGAAGGGTTGAGGTTTAGGGTATATGAAACTGTCTATATGCTTTTGTTTGATGAATTGGTAGACAGGTGCGGTTTTAGGACATGGGTAGGACTGTTAGGTTACATTTTTTGGCATGTTTTTACATTTAATTTTGTGGATCTAAGCATGACACTGAAATATATTTAAAGTGCCACAAGAAGTATCAACTTATATAAGTTAAAAACCGTACAAAAGCTGCTAGTCTAATTTAAAGAGAACCCAGGATTAGACCCAAATATTAAATCAAGGTAATGAAAATGGAGAGTGGTTCTAGAAGCAGTGACCTGTAACATAGCTCTTCTAGAAGAAATGATATGTCATTCATTTCCTTTTGATTTCTCTTTAAATGTCTATTCTTTTTTTTTAAAATGTTATATGTCCATCTATACTATTGTTGAAATGTGCATATTATTTTTATGAGCATCAAAGTTTCTCTATATTAACTAATGTATTCGTCCTATAAGATGTTAAAATTATATATGCACACAGATCCGTTGTAAATATTTCAATAATATACGGATCAATGCCTAGGTCTTATTTTGATAGGGTATTGATTTACCTTACCTCTTCTTTTGTGCATTCAGGGTTTACAAGCGTTTCTTTAGAAGAACAACTTTAGAAACTTCTGACTATATAAAGGATGATTGCCTAACCATGAAATGCATAGTTGGTGTAGTCAGAGCTCGCCTCGAGTGGGACTGAAACAGTGTTCTGTTCCTGTACCACCATCAGACATGGGTCAGAATCTTAAAGCTTTGTTAGAGTCTGAAGTTGGTTGTGATATAAATTTTCAGGTTGGTGATGACACATTTAAAGCACATAAGTTGATCCTTGCTGCCCACTTACCTGTTTTTAGAGCACACTTTTGGGCTTGTTGGGGACCCTAACATGGATAAAGTAGTAGTGAAAGATTTTGAGCCCTCTATCTTCAAGGTGATGCTTCCTTTGACCTTCTCTTGGATTTTGAATATGTTGCATAAGCAAACCCCTGAAATGAATATATGATTCTTCTTAATTCATTTAATTAGAAATAGGATCCAAAAAATCTTGGTTCTTATATTTGCCTAGATGCAAGATCCTACTATAGATTGTAGTTCTGTAAATGTGCTGCTATTTTCATTCATTGGCTAATTAATTAACCGTTGTCTGTTCTTCTTTTTCTTCTAGCGAATGCTCTTGTTTGTTTATACCGACAAGCTTCCTGATGTACAAGAGACTACAGGCTCACCATCTATGTGTATGCCTACCTGGTGCAGCATCTTTTGGCCACTGCTATGTGATTCTAAAAATCTTCATGTTTCATTTGTGCTAGTCACTTGATTCTGTGCTTTTATTTCTTGAAGAGGATGGGAAAGTATTCTACTGGGGATGGAATAAGTATGGCTAGGTATTATTCTCACACTGATAAGTGAACAAACTAGTGGGTAGTTGGACTTTATGACATTAAAATATTTTGGATCTTGTCTTTCATATCAAATTGATTTTCTTGTATATCATTTTTTTTCTTGGATAATCTTTTTAGAGCATTTAAGCATTCATTTATGTACTTTCTCAAAAATAAGATAAATGGAAGTTTATTTGCGCATCTCTTATTCTATTCCAATGTTGTGGTGTCTAGGTGCCTCTCGGTTTTTTGTAAAACTAAAACTAAATACATAACTTTTTTTAAAATTATTCAGCACACATGTCATTTTTGCTGATGTGGCAAGTCAATGGTGTATTTTTGGTTGATGTGGCAATATTGTTGTCCATATATTCACAATAATATAAGTTTAAATGATAATTTTGAAAAAAAATTAACATATCTCAATCTTTTCCTCAAATTACTTTATCCATAAATTTTTCTTTACCTTACTTATTTCCCGTATAAAAAATTTCTTTCCTTTGCCTTGCTCATTTTTGTAAAAAAATCTCAATCATTTTCCAATTTTTTTTATTTCTTTAAGTTTCAAATTAACAAAAACTCAACAACTCAATCACTACAATCTCATTCCTAGCAATTAGATTTGAAAACCAAAAGGGTTCAACCTTGAAGTAAAGTTACAAAACTTTGAATCAACCAAAGATTCTTTTCATCTTCATCTATTGTAGAGTTAGGGTTATTATAATTCAAGGTAAATTTGCTTTTTTCTTAATCAAAACCTTAGGAATAAAAAATTTAAGGAAAAGGTTTTTGGCTTTGGATATTAGACTTTTTACTTATTAACGATTTCAAAATCAATTTAGCCCTGTTTAGTAAGTTTATATTCTAAAATCACAAGCTTGAGCTTGATCTGATGTTTACAATCATGCTTGAGGATGTCCTAGTTAGGCTTCTTGGTGGTAAGGTTAACGGTGCCTTAATCAGTCTTGAAAAAATTTCAAAACCCTAACTCCTTTATTTCTGTGATTTTTTTTTAATAATTAAGATGATATATAAGTGCTAGAAAATTGAAAAGAAAAAGAGAGTGAGAAGGAGAAAAGAAAAAAGAAATTCAAAAAGATTTCGTGTTGGGATCGTTTCTTTCTTGCTTTGCCCTACTACCTTTAAAATTAATTTTTGGACATAACTTTAATTAAATCTATAGACAAATTATATCATTTCGGTATTTATTTCCAGTAAGAAATTAGAAAATAAAAAAAAATTGTTAAAAAATTTTTAAATTTGGGGAAATTCCACATCATTTTCATTTGTTTTTTTGTTCAAACCTAACAGTATGTGTCTTTCATAGCCACATTTCTATTTAAACAAATCTTACATTGTTACAAGTCAATAACATTTAATCCTTATTTGTATAAAGTAAAAAGTTTGCTCTTGAAATGAGCAATCAAGCAAATGTTTATTTCTAAATTGAGCATTTAGTCATTAAAAATTTCATTAGAAACATCGATCGTTTCTTTTCTCTTAAATTGTTAAAATTTAAAAAAAAATTTCAAAGACTTACATTATTATAATTAGATGTTCTTTTTATTAAAGTTATAGCTTTTATCTATCAATTTGTAAATAAAATTATAATTATTTGTAACAAATCATATTTTTTTCTTTATAATATCATGAAAATTCTTCAAATATATAAGATTTTTTCTCTCAAATAAATTTTAGATTTAACTTGTGTTTGAATTATGGTAAATGAAGGGAAATGAAAGAAAATGAAAAAGCTTTTCTTTACCTTTCTTTGTTTGGATTTCAAGTAAATTAAAATACAGAAAAAGAAGGGATGGGATGATTAATTGCCTTACTTTTCCTTACATTCCCTTTTATTAACTACCTCAAATTGGAGAAAATGAAGGAAAAGGAAAAAATAAAAATTTTAAAACTTGAAATAATTATTATACCTTTATTATTTTTTATATTCCAAATAAAACTTTTATTAATTTTCAAATCTAGTTAATATCAAATTTTCTAACAACCCTTAATGAACTCATAGTCTAAAAATATATATTTAAAAAATAAGATATTACCTTATTATAAAGTAAAACCCTAACAAAAAATAAAAACAAAAATTATTTAATGCACATTATCGTTTTATGTTATTTTATAAAAAGAATGTTATAATTGAAAAAAATGTTATAATTAATCCTTTCATTTCCTTTTCACTCCTTTAACAAAATGGTTGTTATGATTCATTTTATTTCTTTTCCTTTATTAATTTTAGTTATCTAAACAATAATATATCTATCTTTTCCCTTCTTCTAAAAAACTTTCCTTTCCTTAACTTTCTTTTTTTTTTTTACTAATATTTATCCAAACATAATGTTAGGGGGATTTTTCTACAACAATTTAATAACTAACCGAATATGAAAATTAGTAAGTTATATAACTTATCAAATATAGATATTCGAAAAGTTTTAAAAGTGAAAAGGATAATTAAATAATTTTACTTAAAAGATAATTTTGGGATTAAAAAAAAGGTATGAAAGCAAAAACCCTAGTGCAAATAAAAGCTCTCTTTTTTTTTAGAAGGATAGTTCATTAGAAGACGGTGGAAGGTGATATTGCGTATATTAGATTGAATCTATCTACTATTGCCTTAAATAAGTTATTTTGATTTGGCTAAATGCTCAATTTAAAATGTAACATTTAGTAGTTTCTCAATTGAAGTTATCATCTTTAATTTGATTCAATTAGAGATCAATTGTTCTCATATTAAATAAAAAAAATTAAAGAAATGTTACATAAAAGAGTGAGATATATTAATTTATTTTGACTTGTCAAAATTGTTGATGTTTCATAACTTATGTGTCATTGAAAGTTGATATAGATAAGGGTAAAATGGTATTTTAGTTAAAATAAAATAAAATAAACCAATTTTTTGAAATAAAAGGATTCTAAGGTTTAGAAAAATCATTTGTAAAAGAAAGAAGTAGGGGGACAAAAATTAGGAAAAAAGCAAACAATTATGAACAAATTAATCTTTTATTCACTCATTTTGCTCGTTAAAATCTCTAATTCCCAATTTTTTCTTCCTTTGAACCATTAGATACGACAACAATGATGATAGTGATGGTGGGATTAAGAGTCAATAGAAGATAAATGCAAGAAGAAGAAAAAAAAAGAAAAAGAAAGGGAAGATAAAAGAAAGAACAAAAAGATTATGACGACAAAGACTGAAAGAACTAAAACTGTAATTGTTATCACAGGAGATTTTTTTTTCTTTTATAGTGGTATTTATGGCTATTTTCATTTTAAAGGGAAAATGAATAAAACTTGTTAGTCTTTAACTTTTTGGCCTAGTAACTAATAAGGTTTAAGAAGATATTTAAGGCGTGAATTCGAAACCCACCTTCTTCGTTTACATCTCTTATCTTATGGACCTAAAAAAAAAAAAAAACATGTTAAGCATGTTTAAACAAAAATTTGTTATTTTTTTAAAAGAATAATTTCAACAATCTAAGATTTTCATGTTAAGAATGATAGTGGTCTCCTTGTTATTATTGTTTATTTTAATTTTCAAAGAGGAAAAAAAAAAAAAACAAGAATAGAAAATTGGAATTGCTTAAAATTTAATTTTTATTTTGTTTCTAAAAAAAAAGATGAGAAGAAAAAAATTAAGTTTATTGTTTTGTTTGGTGTTAGAGAGAGAAAGAAAAAAATGATAACATTTTTTTCTAATAAAATAAAATTTTAATACCGTTATTGGATTTAATTGCACGTGCAATTCATTGTCGTAATGGAATTCTATTTTTAGCTAACCTAAAAATTTTTAATTTTTAGTTGAATTAAATCAAACATGATAACTTTAATTGAAAAATAAGAAAACATTAAATTTTAAATTGAACATTTTTTTTATTTGGATTTAAAGGCTTGAACTATTATTGTAATAACGCTAGGTCTTTTTGCTTGGGGTTAAAATCTTTGCTCCTTTTTTCCCTTCTTGGATTCTCCATAAAAGTTTTGTGCATGTTAACCAAATAAAAAAGATGTACTAAGTAAATATTGGACGAATTATTTTTCCTAAACCATAATTGAATTATTAGAAATTGACAATAAAAATGGGCAATGCGACATGAAAACACTTTATTAGTTAGTCATATAATAATGTCTAATAATTTCTTGACCTTATCATCTAATCCAATGACAAAAACTATAGTTATGTCTAATAATGTATCCATCCCAATCCCATCATCCAATGGCAAAACAAATTTGATAATGCTCTTGAATTGCTCATGCCTTAAGCACATTCAACCTTGTAACTGTTGATCTAATTCTCTTTCTCTCTCTCTCTCTCTCTATATATATATATATTATATTTGATAGTATGATTAAAAGTGTTTAAAATTTTATTTGAATTTATTTTTTTGTATGAGATAACTTTATTTTCAATTTTTTGTTTTAAAATTGTATGAGATGACAAATTTTTTTTTTTTTTAACGATTTGCACAATATAATTTTATTTTCAAAGTAATTTTCACAAAAATTGAATGCTTCTTAAGAAATATTGTTGATTCATAGCGTTATGTGCAAATTTTAAATGAAATTTGCATGTAAAATATAGCATTTACAGCATTTTTTTGAGTGTTTTATTATTTTTTTTTTAGTTTTAAGAATTATAATTTATTTATGAGATATTTATTCAATCAATTCGATTAATTTCGAATTGAATTATTTAAAATTAAATTAATCAAATTATATTATTTCATTTTTATTAATCGAATCAAATGTGTTAATTTTAAAAATTAATCATTCGAACCAAATTCAATTGATTTAACTAATTGAATAACAAATATATTTAAATTAAATTAAAATTTAATATTTTAAAACAAATTAAATAAAATCATCTAATAAAATAATTAAATATTAAAGTATTAAGTTAAAAACTTTACTAATTTCTAAAATAGAATAATTTATTTTATGTATTTTTAGTTTTATATTTGAGTTTTATTATATTTTGGTTAAAATTTTAGTTAATTTAATTAATTTTTTTAATTAAATTAATCAAAAAATAATTTTTTTAATCGATTAAAATTAATTTAATAATTAATCTATTAATAAAATTAAACCAATTCAATCTATTAATTCTACTAAAATCAAATTTTAAACTGTCTTTTTATTTGCTATGAAAAGGATAAAAATGAATTAAAAAAAAGGACAATGTGATTTGACACTCTCAAAGGCCAATGACTAGCAAGTTGGGCTACTAGGCTCTAGGCAGCTCAAATCCATTGTCCGGTCCACATTATTCGGCTAAAAATTCCTGAATCGGTGGACCCTGGTCCCCTCGCCGGCTGGCCCCCATCCAATTCTAACGCCTTCCGCTGCCGCTTCCCTTTTAATTTTCACTAACGCCGTTAACTGAGCAACCCATTAAGCAACAAAATTTCGTTAATTAGTTTCACTTAAAAAGTGATTAAAAGCGTGAAACCCACGCGTAATTAAACACCAGGCGCTTACACCGTTAAGTCTTCCTCACCTCCCTTCCCTTCTATTATTTCTCTTACTCTCCCCATCTTGACCTTTTAAGCTCTCTATCTCTCTTTCTCTCTCAAATTCTAGGGTTTTAAATTTTTTCTGATATCCAAATTTTCAAGTTTTAATTTCTTTAAATCTTCTAGGGTTTCTTTGCGATGGAATCCCCTAGATCGGCCTATTGGTGCTACAGATGCAACGGGTTTGTCCGGATCCGGGTCCGATCATCCCAATATTCGATCCACTGCCCCGACTGCGGTGGCGGATTCATTGAAGAAATCGACACGCCATCTCGATCTCCCATCCACCACCGTTTTTCTGTCGCCTCCATGTACTCCGACACACCAAGCCCAGCTCTCAGCCCCAGCCCCACCGCCACTCCTCGTTTTCGCCGAGCTCGACGAAACGCTGGCGATCGGTCCCCTTTCAATCCCGTCGTCGTCCTCCGCGGTCCGACCTCCGAAACCGACGCGGTAGTTCCCGAAAGAGGGAACAGCAATTTCGAGCTTTATTACGATGATGGGTCCGGGTCGGGACTTCGTCCCTTACCTGCTAGTATGTCGGAGTTTTTAATGGGTTCGGGTTTTGATCGGCTTCTTGATCAGTTATCTCAATTAGAAGTAAATGGAGTTGGCCGTTTCGAGCAACCGCCGGCTTCAAAAGCGGCGATTGAATCAATGCCGGTGATAAAGATCGTTGGAAGCCACTTAAGCACGGAATCTCACTGTGCAGTTTGTAAAGAGCCTTTCGAGCTCGATTCTGAAGCACGGGAAATGCCTTGTGAGCATATTTACCATTCGGATTGTATTTTACCTTGGCTTTCGATTCGAAACTCTTGTCCAGTTTGCCGCCATGAAATGCCAACGGAAAATAACGGAAATACCTTAGGGGAAAACGAGTCTGTTAGAGACGGAGAAGCTGTGGGATTAACCATATGGAGGTTACCAGGAGGTGGGTTTGCAGTGGGGAGGTTTACAGGAGGGAGGAGAGCAACGGAGAGGGAGTTTCCGGTTGTGTTCACGGAGATGGATGGTGGGTTTAATAACGCGGGTGCTCCTAGAAGGATTTCATGGGTGCCTAGTGGGAGAAGGTCACAAGAGAGTAGAGGATTAGGGCGGGTTTTTCGGAGTTTTGTTTCGTTTTTTGGAAGGTTTAGGAGTTCATCTCGTTCAGGTTCAGATTCTGGGTTTACGAGGAGAAGTAGATCAAGTTCAGTGTTTGGTAGGTCGTCTAGGAGGGATATCGACTGGGATTTCGAGGATTGAATGATGGGTGAACTTTTTTTGTTCATTTAGGTTAGCCTTTTTTTTTTTTTTTAATCTGATACTAAAATGTTGCACTTTTCCTCAAGGAAGGAAATATCTGTAGATTGTATGATTTTACTTTGATGTAAATAACAACACTTCGGTGAAGGAATGAAGAATTTTTCGAGTTTAGCTTCTGTCCAAAGAGAAAGAGGCTTTGATGAGCTGATATGTGCACCAATGAGGCAGAAGTGGAAGAAGGAGAAAGTATTGTGATTAGTATAATCCTTTAGTGGTGGTGCTGAGGTACTAATCCTAGCATATAAATTGATGTTAGGCCTAAAAATGTTCAATTAGTAAGTTTTGTCACGATAATTTATGCTCTTGCTTCTTTCTTACATGTAATTTGTCATCAGGAATTTCGTTGTTTATTTGCTGTTCTTAATACAAATTATTGAGTTGTTCATGTTGTTACTTTCGGATTTACTTGACTGGAAGCCACTCTACTTGCAATAACTGGTCTACTTAACTGATTTTTGGTTTTCGTTTGAATTACTTAACCATGTGATGTAATCTGTAAATTTTAATTTTCCATTCAATTACCCGTTATTTTGCATAAATGTGATATTGCACCAATGGGGCCATCATCATTAACGTAGGTTTGGATAGAAACATATGTACAAGTCCAATGGATTTGTTGGTTGGACAGCTTAGATAATACCTTTATTAAATTGTTATCAGTCACAATGATATAGTGGGTAAGTGTCCTACTGTCCTTTGTTTTCCTTTATTTCCTATTTCCTTCTTTCGACAAGAAGTCTTTAATTAGTGGAAATAATTGATATCTTGAAGAACACTCTGCCTTAGAAGGGTTTTATATATATATATATATATATATATTTAATAGAGAGTGATGCTTTATCTGATAGTATGCATTTCTTTTTCCTTATAAGACACATTCTTGTTTATGCAAGATTTATTTTCTTCTTCCAAACAGACATTGATTTCTTCTGCAGATGAGAGTTTGAAAGGGTAAGAATTAGTAGTCTTATGATGCATGATATTTTGTCTCAGAGATTATCTTGGAGAAAGGCAACCAAAAGCTGCAATCAGGAACTTCAGCATTGTATAAAATTTTAGAAAGCAGACATACTAAATTTCAAAATAGAACATGGTAGAACGTTTTGTAGAGCTTATATACTTTACTACTGCATTACCATTACTATTGCATTACCAATACTTTTCAATTACAGTTGTTCCAATGTTAATGTATCAATTACATATTCATTCCTTTTATATGCATTGCATGTTATGAATACAATGTTTTTTCTATGATCTTCTTACTATTCTCGAGCAAGTAGGCCAATTGAAGTGCCTTCATGATTACATTTTTATTGTCACCGTTCTCTTTCTCATTGTTTATCTACCGGGTTCTTCTGTCCAGAAAAATTGTGTTGGGGTAAAATTTTCGAAAATCTGATTGAAAGTTTAACCATCTAATATCTATATGAAAAATCCTTTTATGAACAGTTCTTCACTGTAACTTATGGTCTGGCTGGGTGTCAATGTTGTCAACATTTTCTTGAACATCATGTGTGTGATGAAATGATGTTGCTTACTTAATTTGTTCATGTTAGGTTGAAATATTTGACAGCTGAACCCGTGCTCAGAATCTAATCCATTTCAACTTGTTTTCAACTGTGTTAAATAATGTGTAGATCACATGCTAACAGCTACTGTTGGTGACACTCTGGTATGCTGCTGTGATAATTGTTACCGAGGTTTCTTATGGAAATGAGGCCTGCGATGTGAAGGCCAATTTGAGCTTCTAAATTGTTTGGATTTCTCTCGAGAATAGCATCACACTTGCGACATGGCTATATCTAAAGTTAACCTTTGCTGTGTCTCTGCAGAAGGTAGTATAGAGGTTTTGGGGACTGAAGAGCCAATTTGGGTTTTTACCCATTGCAGAGATGATAGATCTCTTGAGGAGGTTGGTTTTCATATTTGCATATAATCAAGGAGCATTTACGCATTATTCAGGCATCTTTACTACATTGACGCTATCCTGTTCCTGTCTTTTGTTGTTACCAAGCATCATGTAACTGAGAAGGAACTTGATGCATGATAAATTGCTCTTCAGCCAACTTCCCATTTTTATAAGCTGCTTTCTTTCTTGATCAGCATCTGTTGGATGGCGAACAAGGCTCACCTACTGGTGGAACGCCAAACATATGAGTGGAAGCAAATCATTTCAAGCGTTTGATTCGTACAGCATTGTTCATTTTTTTCTCACAGGAAAATGCCAAGTAGTTCAGTAATATGCCTGATTGCTCTTGATTCTGGTTTCTGGATTTCTTGCCTGGTAGAAGGTGGTAAAATTGGACATCACATATGAATAAATCTTTGGTCGGGACCATCCCTATTCAGGAAACCACAAGAATCTTGAGTCCTGACATGGCCTTATCCAGTAGTAGCAACCAAATCCATAGACACATGCTGTATGCAACAACCTGGTACAGAACCTGCTATGTGTCACTTCTAACATCCACAATCTAAAACCTCGTACTTATTTTTCCAGTCGATATAAGAACACCGTATAATATCTGCTCCCACTTCTCCCCTTACTTCCCAAGTTACTGTAGCAATTGAATCTGTCAGCGACGGCATCTGTTGCATCTTTGCGGACTTTATATGCAGAATGTCTGAAACAGTCGCCAGTGTTAGGTAGCCAATCTCTTTCTCTTCCCCTTATGTTGTGGCAGCATTACCCCAGAGGTCAACAGTTTTGCCCTGGACCAAGACCCAGAAGAACCAAAAGAGATCCCTGACAGTAGTTGCAGCAGTTGGAGATGTATCAGCTGATGTTACGACCTATCTAATTGCCAGTGCAGCCGTTGTTGCTCTGGTTGGAACTGCCTTTCCAATCTTCTTCTTCCGCAAGGACACGTAATTACCCTTTTTTTTTTCCTCTGTTTTAATTGTGTCTGCCTTAAATTTGAGCCCTTTTATCATTGTTTTATGGCATTCAATGTTTATGTTGTGCGTTTATCTCAGCTGTCCTGAATGTGATGGTGCGGGATTTGTTCGTGAATCTGGAGCGGCATTGAGGGCAAATGCTGCACGGAAGGACCAGGCTCAAATCGTCTGTGCACGTTGCAATGGCTTGGCAAACTGATCAAATAGACAAATGAATGTCTTCTGTGATTTTAATCCTAATTTCTGCTGTAAAGTGATAAATTCCAAAGACCCCCTATCTTACTACTTTAAGTTTTGAGCCCTTGAATCTCCTCAATACATATAATAATAGAAGCACCTTTGATGTTAATCATTTTTTGTTTGTTTTTCTTTCAAATTTTATAGTTCATAAACAATTTCAGCTTATAGCGAGGAAATGAAAGTTTCACGTTGGCAGAGAAATGCGGGAGAAATTTTGCCGTTTTGTTGCAGCATCCAACTGATCAAATTCTTTATTGTTTTCGATAGAGAAAATATACAAAATGCACAAATAAACCCTTTCGTCATTTTAAATTGTTCCAGATGCTTCACATGCTTGGCAGCATGGGCAAGTAGCTCCGCAAGGAAAAAAAGGAAAAAAAAAAAGAAATAAAGAAGCTTCCAATTGGCAGCGAACATTCCTTGTGATTGTGAGAAAGGATTGATATATAGAACTCACAACTTGCAATTGTAGATAAAGACGTTTTGATCTTCCTTGCTTGTCAAATAACCAAATAAAATCTTTCTGGGATTGAATATTTGTGAGAAGTCAAAATGGGAAATACCAACTGTTAATCTTCATTTTTAAGCACTCTTCTTAGTTCTTCCAATCCATGCTCCGAGATTTCGGATGCGCGTAACGCCGCTTTTATTCGTAGGATAAGTTGCCAAATGAACCTTAGAATTAAGATGACACTCGAGCAACCCGTCAAATAACTTTATAAATGGTCCATAAACATGAACAGCCTATATCCTCAAGAAAACCTTGATATTATCGAGGAAGTAATTACATGGTATCTAAATTAGAGTTGCGGACATCAAATTTGTCCGGCAAAAAAAAAAAAATAAATACAATAATAAAAATTAAACAAAAATATAAAATACAAAACAAAAATCAAAATACAAAATATCAAAAAAAAAAAAAAAAAAACAAAACAAAAAAAAAATGGGGGATGGCAGTGGTGCCTTCCCCGGCACCACTGCCACCATACCCTACCACCCATCCCTCACCATACCTTACCCCTTACCCCTCTGATCACCTTACTTTACCACTCATATCACTACCCTCGCTCAGTTGGATAAAATAGAAAAAATAATAGGGCATGAGGCTCGTGCTTACACCACATGCCGAGCCCTGTGCCATTTCCTTAAGCATATGTAAGGTCAGAGCTCTATAAATAGAGCTCCTGGTCGAACAAGAAGGAAGGAGGTTGTAAAAAAAAAAAGGAAGCTTTCTGCCAAAAAAAAAAAATTCAACACAGTCCTCCCCGTAGGGAGGAACTTAGCACCGAGAAGCTTCCTGCACAAAGAAAAAAAAGAGTCAGTTTCAAAAAAACAAAAGAGAGAATAAAAAAAAAAAGGGGTTTGACCAAAACTTCAAGAGCAGATCTGAGGAATTTTGGACTATTTTTTTGTGCAAATGAGGCTAAATCTGTGTTTAGGGGATTGAGTAAAATATTTTAGGTGATTTTGATTTTTTCAAGTCACTGGCGACGGCGACCGACGACTGGAGGCGGTGACGATGACGGCGACCGACCTACCAGTTGCATTTGGCTGAAGAAAAAAAAAGGGTTTTTTTTTTTGAAAAAAGAAGGAAATGACCGAAAATTTTTTTTTTGAGCTTTTATGTAAACTATCAATAGCCAAAACGACGTTGTTTCAATAAATGCCCAAAACGACGTCATTTTAAGCATCGAAGATTCGTGTGTTAACCCGCGACTCGACCCTGGGTCCACACACCCGACCTGTGACCCGCTTCTTTCATCAGCCTCTGATCGGTCCGACTGAATCGAAACCGAACCGTTGAACCCGACCCGGACTGAAACTGAATCGCTGAACGTGACTGAACCGTTGGACCGAACTGCGCGTTGACCAGTCCGGTTTAGGTAAAAAAATTTTTTTGAATTTTTAAAATTTTTTATATATATATTATTTTATTAATATTTATACATATTAAAATATTTATATTTGTTAGATTAAATAATGAAATATGTGGTTAATTTTTTTTAATTCTATTAATTTTTAAAATAAACTTTAAAAAATACAAAAATAAACTTAATGATAATACAAAAATTAATAAAAATACAAGAAAAAAAATTTTTATCCGACGATGAGATTCAAAGGTATTTCGAGTAGTTATATCTACGAAATCTTTAGGTAAGAAGATTTCTTTTAAAATACTATTAGTGTATTAGAGTATTTATAAAAAAAATTTTCAATAAAATAAAAATTTTCCTTTTTTTTTGTTATAATAATAATAATAATAATAATAAAAATAACTAATAAATTAAAAATAGGTAATAAAAAATGAGAAAAAAGGAAATTTTGTCTGATGATGGGATTCCAAAAGTATTCTGAGTAAAGATGCTTTAAGAAATCCCTAGGTGAGAAGATTTTTTCTTAAATATTACCAGTGTATTAGAATATTTATAAAAAATCTTTAATACAATAAAAATTCCTCTATTCTTCATTTCTTTTAAATAAGAATAATAATAATAATTAATAAAATTTCTAAAAATAAAAAATAAAATGTGTGCATCATGTTATTATTTGCATTGCATGCATGACATAATTTTTATGAAAAGTAAATTCGGACCTTTGAGGATGAGATTCTTAGGTGTTTCGAGAAGTGATGCCTAAGAAATCTTTAGGTGAGAAAGAGTTCTTCTAATATTACCAACGTACTGGAGTATTTTGAGAATTATTTCAATAAAAAAGGTTCTAATTTATATTTTTCAAATAAAATTTGAATAATAAATTTTTTAAAATAAAACCAAATAAAGTAATTTCCAAAAAAAAAAAAAATCAAGAAAATTATTTTTTCAAACACCGAGAATGAGAATATTTTTAATCAAAATCAAAGGATAACATGTAGTTAAGTGGTACCGTTTTTAAACGGGCGTAGTGGAGGTGCTAATCATTTTTCACGCGTAACCGACTCCCGAACCCAGACTGTTTCGCATACCGTGAAATTATCTTTTTAATAAATTTTAATTAATTTTAAAATTTTATTAAAAGGATAAATTTTAATAGGTGACCAATCATACCTAGTCAAAAAAGATTGGTGGTGACTCCATTTTTTGTTCTTTTATTTTCGTTTTCAAATTCGTCGGGTGAACACAAAATCGTTACAACAGCTTGACGACTCTGCTAGGGATTGCCTTTTATTTTTCAGAGTCAGGCCAAAATTAACTATTTGTTATCCTCAAATTTTGATTTAAACAGTCTTAATCAATTTCTTAGATTTTTATTTTTCATTCTCAATAAAAAAAAGGTAAAAAAAAAAACAAATCGAAAATAAAAAGTAAAAAATTCACACACATTTCTTTTATTGTGCCTCTTATGTTTTATTTTTTTGTATATATTACTCTCAATAAATTAGGATATATTTGCACACAATGGCACGATGCATCTCATGCATGAGCTCTATACCCGGACTTCATCTTTATAGGAGGAAGTAAAATACCTATGCTCTCGTGATGTGATAACTTTCGCAATGGCAAGCAAAATACTTCCACTCGAATTGAACCATTTTTGTTCGTAGCCTGTAATAGGAGAAGATCGGGGTGCCTTACTAGTCTAACATGGACTACAGTGAGGAATAATTTGAGAACCTTTAGACACGTGTCAATCCAAACCCAACATGTAACAAGCTTAGGAAACCAGCCTTAGGTAGAGCCTCATCCACCTTCTTATAAAAAATACCTAAGAATAAAAGTTGTGTATAATACAAAACAAAACAAAACAAACAAAAAAAATCTTAAAACAAAAAAAAAACAAAAAAATGTTTTTTTCTCAAACCTCACACTAACTCAATTTTGTTTTTTTTTTTTTTTTGCATTAATCATATCATACAGTTTTGCATCGAGATATTTGCTTTAGGACATATTTCTCCTAAGAAGTTTTCATGGATCCCATAGAGCTACAAATTTACTCATCCTCAGTTAGTGTCCCATGTGAGCCATATAATTAAGTACATGTTTGGTCAAAAGAAGCCCAACAAAAGAGTGAAGATTATTTACCTACTGGTTACATGTCTGAATTACCCGAAAAAGTGCATTTAGATCTCACACAGAAAAATTTAAAAGACTTAGCCACCATCTGGGGTCAATTAAATAAAGAAAGAAGAAAAAGTTTTTACAAGAAGTATGGGCAGATTACATCTCTCATTTTGATAGTGATCGATGAACAACTGGTTAAGACAGCTATACAGTTTTGGGATCCATCCTATAGATGCTTCACTTTTAATTAGGAAGATTTGGTGCCAACTATTGAAGAGTATTCAATTTTGCTTATGGATGAAATCGAATGGATGACTCATTGGATGCCTTGTGTGCCCTTATTGTATTGTGGAGGAAACGAGCCATGGATACTATTATTAGGGCTATAGGGCATTATAAGTTATGCTCCATTAATGGTGCTTAGGTAATTTGGTGCAAAGTAGTTTGTTCCTGCCACTCATGGGCTGGTCCAAGTAGAATTCATTTATGGGGAATCGAATCCTTCAAGAACCTCAGAGCAGTTGATCCAAGCATGGAAAAGAACATGAAGAATGAGGTTAGGGCCTCTCATCGACAAAGTCACCCCTGATTATCAAATTTGGAAGGTAAAGTGGCTTAGAGACTTAATACTCCCTCCTGATGATAGCTCATATCAATTGGTTAATCTTTTGAAAGAGGTATAATTATCAAAAGTTGAGCTTGTCAAGAAAAAATTATAAGCTGAAAAAGAAGAAATAAGAAGAGACAATTTGAGACTTCGTGAGAAGATAGGATAATTAAAATATGAAACAAAAATACAAGGAAGCAGATTGACCAAGATCATAAAAGAATGGGATGTGGCCAATAGTGATTTGAAAGATCTACACCAAGAAAACAAAAGGTTACAAGTCCAATTCAAAATTGAAAAAGTCATCAAGTCTTACCTTAGTCGACAATGTGAAATGGATGAGCTCCGAAAGGAAATGAATAAATGGAAAGGTAAAGCTCAAGAAAAGCAAGATGAGACCACCAGAATTTCTCAATAATGTCAGAATTGAAAGAGGTTATACTCTACAACCTCAGCAAGATTGGTGGAATGCGAAAGAGAAAAGGAAAGGTTAAAAGTCAT